GCTCGTGAGCGTCTTTCTTCTCAAAGCGGGCCTTTCTGATGGTGCCGTGTAGTCCGAGGGAGGCCTCGTGAGGCACCCTGGACGGGATCTGCGCCTCCTGTCCGCCCCTGGCCGCCGGAGAAAACGAGCGGACAGCCGCAGCGTCTTGAGCGCGTTGGCCTTCGAAGGGGCCAGCTGGGCGCCTCCTGGGCGCCAGTGTCCACGGAGGTGTCGATCCCAGGGGATTTGGGCGTGAGTCCTGAGATTTTCCAGGAAGTCCGAACTCCTCTCGATGAGATCTTTGAGGGACACCAGCGCCATCTTGGAGTTGTACGTCGTGGATATGGTTCCATACAAGGCAGGTTGTACACATTTCTCGGTGTCTGCCTGAACTGTGGTCGTGCGCGCGTGCGTGTACGAACGCATGTCTACGCATGGATGCCTGTGATTCGGTACGCATGTATGCGCGTGACTCCACACATTGTTTAGACATGCGCGCGATTGGAGAACGGTTGAAGGGGCAGGCGAGCATCAGCGTGTGCGCGTACATACGTATGCGCGCATAGGTTTGTAAGATTAGGCACACGTGCACACATTTGTAAGTATGCTTGGAGTTTGAGGGCGAGAAGCCACTCATGGGTCTGTGCATGCATGCGCTCTAACTTGCCAGCGGAATTCACTCACTGCCGCAGTGTTCTTTGCGAGCTGGGCGTTTGACGTCAGGCGCGTCTGCGCCAGCGAATGGTTACAAGGCGAGACATCCAGGTATGCCTTGCAGTAGCGTGGTAGTCGCATCGGCCTGCAACTGCACATGTCAATATCACTCGAGTGTCTGGCAAGCCACGGTGTTCGTGGGCTTGGCTCGTCGCAGTGGTGAATGATGATTCCTATGGGTTTGGCAGAATGGAGGATGACGATTAATAAATGACCGGGGGTCGTGTTCACGCGGCGGCGCCCGGGATGACGATTAGAAAAAACCGGCCGCGGGTTGGACAACCATTTTTAACAATTGTTCTCCTCCAGTCAGAAACTTGCGCAGAATAGCAGGAAAGTATTTTTGTTAATCGTTCCCCCCCATTTTTTATTAATCGTCATCCCGCATTATTGCACGCACGTATTGATTCGTCCAACCTCCCTAGCGAGGCATCTGCTGTGGACGCACTGAGCAGACTGCTGTACGAGCACAGCTACAACATGGCCACGGACTGCCCCCCTGGCAGGGGCGCGCCGCTCTGTGCAGAGCCGGGGCCGGTGCAACAGGGGGAACGGTGGATTTGGTCGAAGGGTTTACTTGCTTGCAGTTTCAGGTCGGGCATGTCCCTCTACAGGATCTTCAAGAATGGTTTCAAAAAATGTGTGGTGACGATTTGTCGTGCTCTTGTGACTATGTGTGTCTACTTTTCGATTCGTTTTAATATATATATATATATATATGTATATATATACATATGTAAATTCCAGAATCTCCTGTAGGAGGACATGCCCGACCTAAATATGGTTGAAAGGCTACTTAGTTGTAGCTTCATCCATCTGGTCGTGGCTCAGATTCCAACAGGCCAGCGATTTTCGCTGACATCAGTCTTCTTCACTTGCCACAAACCTTTGGAAGCCAGTATGTACAGTCGAGTTGATCAGTAGGTCGACCCTGCCAAATCAAGAGCACCCTTGCGTCCTCCGTTTCGCCACCATGTCCTCTACACTCATATGGCAACGTGGCCTCCGAAAGGGTCTCGTGTCCTCTCGCGTGTCCTCTCCAATCAAACTCGATTGGGCCCGTCGCTCTGATTGCAGAGGCTTCACGCCCGGCTCCACCAACCCTGAAGGATTTACCGGCAGGGACACGCGAGGCGGAAGGGGGCGCAGGGGGAAGGAACGTCAGGGAGTTTGCACGGCAAGAGAGACAGCATTGCGAAGGATTGGAGCGGGCTGGAGGTCGGAGGTGGCCCAGCATGGATTCCAGCGAGCAGGACAGGGGAGGGCGAGGTGGCAGGCGTCTTCGGGCCCCGACCGTCCAAAGCGGATCTGGGGTGATAAACTGCACCAGGTGGGCCCCGGAAGGGGTCCGCGGACCGATTTTGGGTGAACGTGCCGTGATCCCCCCTTTTTGGGTAGATTTTCTCGGGGCCCCTCCAGTTCAGGCCCCCCGGCCGCCTCCGATACAACGGAGCGACATCCGTCGCCATTTTCGCTCAAGCCTCGAAGCATCGCTGCCCGCGATTTCGCCTCGCGGCGCCAAGCCATTCTTCGGGTCCCGCTTAGACGCGGTGTCAACGTGGCGTTCAACCCAGAGAACCGCCTGGTGCTGGAGGAGTTGAAATGCCACGAGTGTGATGTGATCGATGTCTGCCGCTCGGAACAGCTCGAGAGGAGCACGACCGCGCTGGATGACGACCCGTGGATCGGGGAAAACCTTGCGGGGGACCAGCAAAAAGTCTGCACTGCCAGGGACGGCTTACGGTCGAGAATGTTGGCTCAGCGTGTCTCTCCGCCGGAAGGGGGGGGGGGGGCAGGAGGAGGAGGGGAAGGAGGAGAGGAGGAGGAGGAGGAGGAGGAGGGCGGAGGAGCGAGGAGGAGGAGGAGGAGGGAGGAGCGAGGAGGAGCGAGGAGAGCGAGGAGGAGCAGGAGGAGGAGGAGGACCAGGAGGAGGAGGAGGAGGAGGAGGAGGAGGAGGAGCGAGGAGGAGCGAGGAGGAGGAGCGAGGAGGAGGAGGAGGAGCGCGACACGCTGCCCGCGCCCCGGCCCCCAGGCGCCCCCGCCCCGACCGAGCCTCTCGGAGAGCCAACCCGCCCCGCACCGCGGCGCGGCACGCCGGCCGCCTGCAGGGCAGAGCGAGTCGCCGGGGCCGCCGCCGCGGCACGCCGACCGCAGAAGAAGAGCGCCTTCGTCGCCCGTCGGTCGCCCCGTCGGTCGACCGCTCGTCGCCACACCACCTCGTCTGCTCGCCCCCCGCGAGCGCGGCACCCTGCCGCGCCACGCGCCAGTGGACCGGCGGCGGGCTCCTCCCATTTCGCCCACCCGCCTCCACGCCCGCCCCGCGGGCGGCCCCCCTGGTGGCCGCCCTTGCTTCGCGCCCCATGCCGCCTGGCGCAGAGCGGCACGCAGAGCGAGTCGCAGAAGCTCCCGATCGTGTATCATCAGGAGGGACGAAGACACACGGACACAATTCATCGTCGATCCCCCCCGAAAATATGGGAAAACATGGGAAGCAAAAAAAATCGCGACGGGAGGTTTCTCGCCGTTTTCGGCCTCCTGGGGTCCTTTGCGGGTCTCGGGAGCGGCAGCAAACGATCCAGGATGAAAAACCGGTCCCAAGGATGGGTCCAGACCTCTGGAGGTTGACGTTGTGAAAGAATCGCGACGTCGGGTGTTTTCAGGAGGGAGAGAAAAAAAACACAGACACAATTCATCGTCGCACCCCGAAAAAATATGGGGAAATATGGGAAGTGGGGGGGGAAGGCGGAAGCCCGGAAAATATGGGAAAGTATGGGGACTCTTTTTATTTGTGTGTATTTATTTGTGTGTCCCAGGGCCCCTTCATATCAGGCGATCGCAAACATGGATCAAGAGGGCGTGGATTAACGACGTGTCCCGCTTCCACGGGAAATCGCGGGCTTCCGCCGCCGAGCGAGGCGGCACAGGCCGCATTTTGGGGAGGGCACCTCCCCCGATCCATGGATCAGGCGACCGCGCGCCAGATCCGTGGATCGCTAATCCATGTTTGCGCGCCCCCGAGTGTACAATCGCCAGTTCTCGACGGACGAGTCGAAGCAACTCGTCGCCGGTTCTCTGACCCGCGGGCGGACTCCGAGCGTGCAGCATGGGCGCGAAGGGAGCGAGGACTTCACAGGTCTCGCGGGCTGCGCCGGCAGCGGCAGCCTGGCTGGACCGCCCCTCCGCGCAGATTTCTCGCATCGGCGCCAGGCCCCCTAGCGGCGCCTCCGGCGCCGCACCTGGCGCGCTCCGCGCGCCAGACGAGGCGCCGATCCAAGAAATCCGCTCGGACCTCCGAAAACTCATGTTTCTGCTTTTCTCTCCTCTACGAAAGGCCTAGGCAGAGGGAAGATCGGTGTCGAAGGCCTTGGCAGGTTTGCTCCGTGCGCGCTGGCGTTCGACAGCGCACCGCACTCCAGGTGGAGGTGCGTCTTCATCTTGCCAGGGCACCCACGGATCTTTCTGCGAAGCGAAAGCGGACTCTTTGGGACGGGATGACCGAGCTTTTGCCAGATTGCATGATCGAGTGCAATGGCGAAACACGGTGTGACCGTTGGCCCCTGCCGCCTGCTTCTCGTGGTGCGTCTTCGAGCTGGTGTTCACTGACTTCCGGCACGCTCGCGGTGTCACCCAACCAGAATCCCCCCGCCATTTTGGCGTTGCACTCAGGCCGGCGGCTTCCCCCCCAGTCGACGGCGCACTTCTCTGAGCGGCAGCGAGGCCCGCCTCCTGCTTGTTCCTCCCTCCGCTGCCCCCTCGTTGCCCCCCTCTTTTCTTTCTCCTGCTGGCGCAATTTAGGCCGTAGCTCGCTAGTTACGGCTTTTGGACGGCGTCCGGCGTCTCCGGTGCGCTCGCGGTCAAAAAAGCATCCCCACCAGCCCATCCAGAAACGATGCCCAAGAGAACTGACGGGGGAGAGAGGAAGATGGCCTTTTGACGGCCTCCTTGGGGGACTCCATGGCCATATCGAGCCGCCGTCTTGGAGCGGTCTTGGAGCCTCTTGGAGCATCTTGGGAGCCATCTTGAGCCAGCTTGGCTATCTTGAGCCATCTTGGAGGTCAGATTGGGCTCTCTGAGACCGCTCGGGGGCCTCCTGGGTGCCTCTCGGGGGCTTCTTGGAGCCCTCTTGGGGCCTCGTGGGGCGGTCTTAGAGCCGGCCCTCTTGGGGGCCTCTTGGGAGCCCTGGAAGGGGGCCCCTGGGGGCCATCTTGGAGGCGGTTGGTCAAAAAGGGGGTCCTAAATGTAGCTCCCCCCCTCGGGGGCCACGAGCGTCGTGAGGGGTGTCAATAAGTGACCCTCCCAGGGGCCGAAAAAGAACCTTCTGACACATCGGGCCCCCTCCCAGAAAACCCAGGGAGGGGAGGGGGGGGTCCTCTCCCCGAAGGGAAGAGGGGTCCTGGAAGAGGAAAGAGACCCTCGTTAGACCACCTGTCGCCCAGAGGGCTGGCGGGATTTTTGCTCCAGCGTGGCAGCGTGCCTCTGCGACAAGCTGACGGCCGAGATGGGCGAGGGTCGTCACGGAGCACGCCGCGGTCGCTGGAGCGTCTACGCTCACGAGGGCAATGTTGGGAGCAAGTGGCAACCTTCTCGACAAATCGTCGGTCTCATTACCACTGCCACCCTGCGCGACGGCTGGGTGATAGCGTGGCACCGCGTACGCAGTCTCGTCGAGCAAGTGGCCTGGCCGGGGTTGGCCAGCAGCCTGTCCCATCGGGATCAGGTTCGCAGGCCATCAACGTCACCGCGGAGCCGCTCGGCATTATATTTCAAACATACATCAGGGGGGGGGGGCAAGACCAAAAGGCGGCCGAAATGCAGCAAGGTGGCAGCATGGTTCTGCCAGGTTGGCCCCAAGCGGCATCCGGAGGTGGCCGACCAGGTTGGCTTGGAGTCAGCCGCGGTGGACCCCAAGATTGCCCAGATGTCCCCAAGGCCGCCAAGATCTGGCCCCCCAACCGCGGGGATTCCCGTTCAGCGCTCTTCTCAGGCCTCCTAGACGGGGTCCGAGGACATGGGGTTGGAGGATCGCGCCGCATCGCCGATGCATCGCCGATGCGGCTAGATGTGGAGCCTGATGTTTTCCGCGCTGGCGTCGCCAAAGCTCCGCCGACGTCTCGCCGATGCATCGGAGATGGACCGTCGATGCGGTGCGATCCTCCGACCCGATCTACTCGGACCCCATCCAGGAAGCCTCTAGCCCCGACGCCCCTCGCTTTGCCACTGCCTGGCTGGGCCGCCCTGGAGAGGAGGAGGAGGAGGAGGAGGAGGAGGAGGAGGAGGAGGAGGAGGAGCAGGCCGCGGAGGAGGAGGAGGAGGAGGAGGAGGGGGAGGAGGAGGAGGAGGAGGAGGAGGGAGGAGGAGGAGGAGGAGGAGGAGGCGGAGGAGGAGGAGGAGAACCATCTGGGGTCCATCTTGGATTCTGCCGGGGGCCCACTCGGGCTCCTCGCGGTTCGTCGCGAGGCGCGGAGGGGCACGCGGCCGTGGCGGCCCAGGCGCACGACGGCCCCAGCACCCGCGCTCGCGGCAACAGAACAACAACAAAACAAAAAAAAAAAACGTCGCTCCCTCCTCCTCCTCCTCCTCCTCCTCCTCCTCCTCCTCCTCCTCCTCCTGCTCCTCCTCCTCCTCCTCATCCTCCTCCTCCTCCTCCCAACCTGTGCGGCGGGAAGTGGCGATCGAGCTACCCACGATCCTACCCACGAGCCGGTAAGAGGCGGTGAAACAGGAGGGAAGCAGCTGCAAGAGAAAACAAAGGCAACATGCATGCATATGCAGACATCAAAGTACACACATGATGCGCATATCTACACATGCACATGCAGACATGCATTAAATAGAGCGACTGGAAGCACGTAAAACATAACAGTACACAGAAAACAACAACAACAACAACAACAACAACAACAAAAACAAAAACAACAACCACAACAACAACAACAACAACAACAATAACAATAATAATAACAACAACGACAACAACATCAACAACAACAATAATAACAACAACAACCACAATCACAACAACAGCAACAACAGCAACAACAGCAACATCAACAGCAACAGCAACAGCAACAGCAGCAACAACAACAACACAACATGCCACGCGAAGCCCGCGCAGGAGCTCGTCAGGCGGCTGGTGCAGGCAGTGCTGCTGCTCCTCCGGGACGACGACGCCCAGGCCGCCTCGGAGGGATCGAGGATCGAGGATCCAGGGTCCAAGATTCCAGGCCTCCTCCGCCCCCTCATCCTCCCCCTCCTCTCTCTCTGTCTCCCTCCCTCTTTCTCTTTCTCTCTCTCTCTCTCTCTCTCTCTTACTGGGGCCGCCAGAGTAGATGGAGGCAGAGAATCGCGCCGCATCGCCGATGCATCGACAATGCGGCGCGATCTGTAGCCCGTTTGCATCGTCCAGCGATAACGCCCGTTACTAGGAGAGGAGGGGCCCAGTATCGTCACAATTTGCGCCCGCGGGGAGTGGGGGGGGGCGGCCCGGTGATGTCCTGGTTGGGATTGGTTTGGGACGACGACGATGACGACGACGACGACGACGACGACGACGACGACGACAACCGACCGACCGACCGACCGACCGACCTGCCGACGACCGACAGCCGACGTCGTCCAGAGGCTTCTCGAGGCGTCTATAAGCCTCTGGAGGTGCATGGCAGTGTGTGCACAGGCATGTGCGCCATAGTGTGCACAGGCGTTGAAGCGTTGTGATGCACACTGTGCACACCTGCTGCAGCAGCATTTGTGGTGGACACGCACTATGATGAACACAAGCGCAGTGGTGCACACGACTGTCGTGGTGTACGCAGGCGCTGGGGTACACAGGCGCCGTGTCGCACACAGATGCTGATGCAGCAGCATCGGAGGTTTACACAATCACTCTGTTGTACACAGGCATTGTTGGCAGCATTTGTGGTGCACACAAACGCCATTGTGTACACAGACGCTGAGATCCACACTGGTGTACTGGCGATGTGGTATACACAAGGTGCACAGGCACTGTGGTGCACACAGGAAATGGGTGTACGCAGGCGTCGTGGTTTATGCAAGAGCTTGTTTGGAGTACACAGCACATGTTGTTGCTGCAGAAGCAATGTTGTACAAAGGCTTGTTTTGGTGTATGCAGCCATCGCTGTGTACACAAAGCTTGTGGTGTACGGTGGTATTGTGGCGCACACAGGCAACGTGGTGTAAGCACGCACTGCGGTGCACAGATTGCGGTGTGCCCAGACATTGTTGTGCACATGGGCATTGTGGTCTACACAGGCGTTTTGGTGTGCACCCGCATTGTGATGGACATAGGCACTGTGACAGTGATGTACAGAGGCTTTGTGGTGTACACAGGCATTGCTCACACGGGCCCACTCATGCGCACAAGCACAGTGGTGTTCACCGCCGCTGTGGTGCACACAGGCGTTATGGTGTGCAAAAGCATTGTGGGGTACTCCAGGTGCCCCTCCGCGGGCATACAGTGGCCACAAAGACGCAACGTCCGCTGTTCGCGGCTACTCTCAGCAAGCCCCTGCGCTTTGCCGAGCTACTCCTGGCAGATCTCGACCCACTTGCGAATCATACCTGCACTCAGCTGATCCTAGGCATTTTCAGACGGCGCCAGTGCGAAACATGACGTTACCAGGGGGGGCGGCGGTAAAGGCTGGTATCGCGGGGCATGAAAAATAAAAACATGTTCTTGGAGCCCGATGTTCTCCGTCCTGGCGCCGCAGGTGCATCTCTGATCGGCGATGCGGCACGATCCTCCACGCCCATCTACTCCAGTCTTGTTTGGGAGCCCTCCAAAGATCGGAGATCCGCAGTAGAAAAAAAAACACAACAAACAAATGATACCGGAGAAAAAAAAAACAAACAAAGCCTTTTTAGGGCTATAGGGCGATGGGGCTATGGGGCTATAGGGCTATGGAACACTAGGGCTATAGGGCTGTAGGACCATAGGACTATAGGGCTATAGGGATCTAGGGCTATGGGGCTATAGGGCTGTAGGGCTATAGGCATATAGAGCTATAGGGCTATAGGGATGTAGGGCAATAGGGCTTAGGGCTATGGGGCTATAGGGCGATAGGGCTATAAAGCTATAAGGTAGGGCTATAGGGCTATAGAGCTATAGAGCTATAGGGCTATAGGGCTATAGAGCTATAGGGTTATTGGGCTATGGGGCTATAGGCCTATAGGGCTATGAGGCTATAGGGCTATAAGGCTACAGGGCTACAGGGCTATTAGGCTACAGGGCCATGGGGCTATGGGGCTATAGGCCTACAGGGCTATAAGGCTATAGGGCTATAGTGCTATAGGGCTATGGGTCTATAGGGCTATAAGGCACCCGGGCACCCGGGCACCCGGACACCTGGACACCCGGGCACCCGGGCGGGCCGCGGAAGTCGGTGACAGACCTCACCTCACCATATGAGTTTGCTCGGACCCCTTACAGAGGCAAGCTCTGATTGGGGAAAATCAAACACACAAAAAAACGGAGACCTGTTTCCAGCCGGCTGGGGCCCAGGCGCCCCCGACGGCCCGCCAACAAGAGTCGGGCATGTCCCTCCACGGGAGGAATATTCAGAAATAGTCCAAAACAGTCTGAGGACGATGCTCCACTGTTTGGGAGTATTTCTTGGCCGCTTTTGACTTTCTTCCAAAATCCGCCTGTACAGTCGTTGCGCTGACCTGAGGAACCCTGAACAAGGAACGAGGCTTTTTTTTCCCGCCACAGGTTGAATTTAGATCTCCCGTGGAAAACCTCAGGAAAACCTGAGGCGAACTGAAATCGAGCAAGGAATGCCGAGCCCCTCCCCAACGAGAAAGGTTCCCTCTTCAGCGCCCCGACTGTACGAGGACATGCCCGACCAAACGCTAACAGTAAGTCGGGCATGTCCCCCCTACAGGAGGAAGACTCAGACTAGTCCAAAAACAGTACGGGGGCGATTGTTCAACATGTTTCTACTATTCGAGTGTATGTTTTTAGTACTCGAAACGTTTCGCCCAAAACCCGCCTGTACGAGGACATGCCCGACCCGACGCAAGAATAGAAGAGGGACACATCGAGCCCCCGGCCGCCCGCTCGTCGCCAGAAATCGGGGCCTGGGCGCCCCCCCCCCCCTCCAGCCCGCCCCGGGAGGGCGTGCGGCTCTGCTGCCGGGGGCCTCCCCCCTCGCGGATCTGTCGGCGACGCAGCGCCGATAGATCGGTTTCGTCCTCTCCGTTCTTCTTCGTGATCGCCCTCCTCCTGTTCGGCGCCGAGCTGCGCAGCATCCCTCGCGGTTAGAGCGGGTGGAGGTCGACTGCAAGGAATACAGAAGAGGGAACCCGCGCGCGCGAGCGAGCGAGGCATGCCCCCCTTTTTTTTTTTTTAAAAAAAAAAAAAAAAAAAAAAAAAAAAAAAAAAAAAAAAAAAAAAAAAAAAAAAAAAAAAAAAAAAAAAAAAAAAAAAAAAAAAAAAAAACGTGGGATCTCTCGGCGATCTGTCGCGGGACGCATCCCTCGTGGGATCTATCCGCGCGGGATCCGCCGACGCGTCCCTCGCGGATCCATCGGCGCCCCCCGGCCAGGAGGGCGTGCGGCCCCGCTGCCGGGGGCCTCCCCCCTCGCGGAGCGACGCATCGCCGAGGACAAGTCAACGCTTACCTGAAGTCGGGCCTGTCCCTCCACGGGAGGAAAATTGAAAAATAGGCAAAAAATAGTAGGGGGGACGATTTTCGATGTTTTTTGTTTACCACGTTTGAGTAGGTTTTGACTCTTATATTTTTTCGTCCAAAATCCGCCTGCAGGGGGACATGCCCGACCGAATGCCAAACCAACGCTTCCCCCTCCCGATCCGGTTCTCCACTGTGATTCCCCCCATCGGGTGGACAGTCCCAGGACGTGGGTGGACGAATATATATGTGTATATATATACACATATACATACATACATACATACATACATACACAAATACATACATACATACATACATACATGCATACATACATACATACATACATACATACACAAATATATACACATACACATATACATATACATGTACATATACATATAGATATACATATACACATACACAAACATATCTATATATAGTTCTATATATATATATATAGATATATCGTTGTGTGGCGTTCTGGCGCGCTCTCGCAGCGCTCTCTGGAGCGCTCCGAAAAAAACGGCCCCGCGGCGCCCGATGCACCCACCCGCCAGGCCCACCAGCTCTCTCGGAGCTTCTCCCGACTTATATCCCGACCCGTAGAAGTCTTCGCCTTGCCTTGGTCTGAGAAGGGAGACGGAGGTCTTCGCCTTGGTAGTCTTCGCCTTGCCTTGGTCTTCGCCGCCTTGGTCTGAGGGTCGCCCACGGAGGGGGGATGTCCCTTCGCTGGCGCGCGGAGCGCACCAGGGGCGGCGCCGGAGGCGCCGCCGGGGGTTCCAGGCGCGGATCCAAGACATCCGTGCGGAGCACCAAAAGTTTCTGTGTGTGTGGCTCTTTCTGTTTCTAGACAATGGAGACGGAGGGTCGCATGCGATTTCACTCGCCCGCAATCCGGGAGTCCCCTCTTCAAAAATTGGCCGCTCAGAAAAGAGGTGGAACTCAGGGACATCCCCCCCCGTGGTCTGTTCGGACGCACCCCTTCATCGAGCATGGACGTCCCCCCGTCGCATCTTTCCGAGTTGGGCCCGAAGCTGTTGGCCCAGCCGAAGGTTCCACAGAGTCGGGGGTTGGTGCCGCGCTACAGTACGCACCTCAAATAAGAAACCAGCTTGCCAGGTGCCCCACGAAAGTGTCTTATCTCCCAGTGGCCATGGGGGGGGCGCAGCAGCTCTAGGCCACCTCAGGACTCTCGAAGAGCGACAAATGATGTGCCCCAAGAGTCCTTATCGCAAGATTTCTCATCGTGTGTGTCTGCCGTACCTCCCTGCAGAGGGGCGGTGGCAGGGCCGGTGATGCGGGCCGAAGCCCAGGGGGGGTGGGTTGGGCTGCAGTCTGGCCGATCGGCCCCCTCCAGTCGGTCCGCCGATCTGCCAAGGCGGTGTGGGCGATGTCGAGAGCACTCCATCGCCGATCGCTGTGCTTCACACGGTGATCGAGTGCGAGTCCTGATGGTGGAGGAAGTGATGGGGAAGGGACGGTCTTCCGCGCTACAGTTGCAGGCGTGTCGCGGCAGAGGGCAACAAACATTCGGGGAAAGTTCGGCGAAACAGAGGTAGTATGTTATTGGTTATATCGAATTGCTGAGCCAATAAAGTATCATGTTGGTGCATGCACGTTTCGAGCAGCTTGGGATGGTCATCGGGGATCCGTGTTTGTCTCTCCAGAGAGGTATGGCGGGCGGCGCTCAAGTTCACAAAGGTCGTGGTTTTCGTCTTGCCAAAGGAGCTGCTGGCCGAGTTCCTTCCGCTGATACTGGCGGGACTGGGGGGGGGAGGACATAAGCGTGGGCATGCCCCAACAAGTATGTCTCACGTTGTTTGTATATCTGCGCATGTGCCGATATATAGATGTACCACGAAGGAGAAGGCGGGAGGCAGGATGGAGGCGGTTGGACGCAGGACAGATGAAGAAGGAGGAAGATGGAGGAGGAGAAGGAAGAGGGACCATGGCGCAGGCGGAGGAGGAGGCGCAGATCACAGAGAGAAGGAGGGAGCGGGGAAGAGGGAGGAGAAGAGGACGGTGGGCAGTAGGGAGGAGAGAGGAAAAGAGGAGCGAGGAGGAAGGTGGCAGGACAAGAACTGGAGGTGGGGGCATGGAGGAGTGACAAGGTAGTTCATATCATATATGATAGGACAGATCGCGAAGCGACTCAAA